AGTGATTCATTTAACAGTTGTCTAAACCCTGGAAATCTTCCTGGTGAGTTATTTAACAGCAGGTGTCTAAACCTTGGACATCTTCCTAGTGATTAATTTAACAGTTGTCTAAACCCTGGAAATCTTCCTGGTGAGTTATTTAACAGCAGGTGTCTAAACCTTGGACATCTTCCTAGTGATTAATTTAACAGTTGTCTAAACCCTGGAAATCTTCCTGGTGAGTTATTTAACAGCAGGTGTCTAAACCTTGAAAATCTTCCTAGTGCTTTATTTAACAGTTGTCTAAATCCTGGAAATCTTTCTAGTGATTCATTTAACAGCATGTGTCTAAACCCTGGAAATATTCCTAGTGATTCATTTAACATCATGTGTCTAAACCCTGGAAATCTTCCTAGTGATTCATTTAATAGGAAGTGTCTGAACCTTGAAAATCTTTCTAGAGATTCATTTAACAGCATGTGTCTAAACCTTGAAAATCTTCCTAGTGATTAATTTAACAGCATGTGTCTAAACCCTGGAAATCTTCCTAGTGATTAATTTAACAGCATGTGTCTAAACCCTGGAAATCTTCCTAGTGATTAATTTAACAGCATGTGTCTAAACCTTGAAAATCTTCCTAGTGATTCATTTACCAGCAGGTGTAAAAACCCTTGAAGATCTTCCTAGTGCTTCATTTACCAGCAGTGTCTAAACCCTGGAAATCTTCCTAGTGATTCATTTAACCAGCAGGTGTAAAAACTCTCAAAATATTCCTCATTTTTTACTTATCAGTAAATGTCAAAACCTTCAAAATCTTCCTTTGATTGACTTACCAACACATGTTGAAAACCTTGAAATCTTCCTAATGCTATAGAAACATAAGCAAACATGATGAGGTAGCTGATGAGAATAGTAATAACATCTGACTGACTCTCTCTGTCCAGTTCATCTTGAATAGACCGCTATGAAATAAGAAGCTCACATTTTAAAGTTATAAGCACCATACAGGAAAATGTAATTGCTATAAAACTATTGTTAGATAATTATTGATTTTTGTAAGTATCAAATACATTTAGAAAGGTGTCACAGAAAACTAAAAGACAACTAACAGCTACACAAAGAAACAAACAATAACTTAACAAATGTAGCTCTTTTTAAAGACTGTAAACAATTCTGCATCCATAAACAGTTTTAATTTGTACACATTATTATTTGAATTCAAAAGTTATAATTCAAATTTCATATTATATTAAACAAAATGTAATACCTGACTGGTTATCCTGAAGGTTTAGTTATCTTGCAAGTTTTCAAATAATATACTCTATAACACATTCAGTATACTTTAAAGTTGTTTTTACACTATATTAATTCTACATTGTAATTTTATGCATGATCACCACTGAACTGCCTATTTTTTGTTTTATTCACTCTGAAATACCAATGTTCTGAACCAAATAATCTATCTAATGCATACATTGGCTGCAAATGTGGCTTTGTGAGCCAAATCAGTGATTTAAATATCATTATTTACACAAATCTTTATGTTGATCACTTTGCATACGAAAAACGTACATGTATATTTGACAGTGTAATTGTTAGTATTAAACGAGTCTTTGCACTCAAAAACAATGTTTTTTTTAGAAATCAAAGAATGTAGCTTTAACTATGGTTATTTTTATTCTAAAGTATTCAATACATGATACAATTTAGCTAACATACAAAGTACAAGGCTTTTTAATTAATTATAATATATATATATCTTATTATTTGAGTTCCCATCAACAGAAAAATGTAATTATGTTATTTAGATGAGGAGTTTGAATGGATAAGCATGGCAATTAAATAATTTGTGAACATAACAAAAATGTATTACATTGTCTGCATGTATGAAGTGAAACTCTATTGAATAATAATAATAAAATGGTGATTTGACAGCTTTTTTTTATTAGTTCTCAGTATTTGAGTGGAAAATCTACAGACAAAATGATAATGCAAGTGATTAGGTAATATGTTAAACGTAGAACTGCTTTAAAGGAAGATTTAACCAAAATAAATTTTCATTAAAAACAAAACAGGATGAGTTCTTAGTAATGGTTGCTTTAAATAAAATACAAGAGTTACACCTAATAGTAGTAAAAGCATACCTCTGAAGAGAAAGAAATTGTCATGTTTGGGTTAGAATACTTCTTCATAAAATCTACATATCTAATTGAAAAAGAAGATATAAATGAAGGTCAAAAACTATGTATGAAGAAGAGCTTATATTATTACGTTCAAACATATACAAATTTAATAAATTTGATAATTTATGTAAACTGTTTTGGAGACCAAATTTAACATACACACAAAAAAAAACTAATTTTTTTGAAATAAATTTATTTTTATTATTCATTTATAAAACAAATAAAATGAGCATTCACAAAATTCTAAAAAACAACAACAATTTTATTGGCATGTATAACAGTTATTGATGATGTAGGCATTTTTTTTATATGTAGCAGTTATGGATAACCTTTCAATACACTAAATATATATAACTGATTAGTATTGACATTTCACACAATAGAACCTTCCTAGCTTGAATGGTTGTTGCACTAACAGCATCAAACAGGAGTTCGCACTTAATTCTCAAGCTTCTGGCTAGAGTAAAGGTGAAAAGATAAACAGCAGGAGCCAGGAGTTTACAGAGCTGTTATCTCAAATTGTGTTGAAAAGATAAACTGCATGAGCAAGGAGTTTCCAGAGCTAGAAGTAGTGCA